TGTTATCCTCAAAGCATTTAAAAAATTCAGATGCAGTAATTGCTCAATAAATGGCAGCAACTATTGCCGCGGCAGCTGAGCCCAGGGTTGCAAACACCCACGCAGAGCTGACCCACAGCAAGACCCTGGAGAGTTGGAGCAAACCTCACACACAGCCTGGCGAGCGCTGAGTCTAGGTCCACAGTCAGCATAAGCCAACTCCAGGCTCTCCCATCCTCCTGCATCCGTCACCGAATCCACCCTCTTTAAACCCTGTCCAAACTGGATCCAGCACAAGTCATTTTCGGAGAAAGTTACCAACTTGTTAAAAAGCCCAAAGAGGGCTGAGATCTGGTGGTAAGCAGCTGCAGTCTAAGCCAGCGCATGGGGATTTGTGCAATTTAAAGCTCTAGCCAGCTGTTTTGCACTGGCCGTGCAGAAAAAGCACAAACCCACACTGTCCCCACTGGATCAGGAAGGGGAGCTGGTGATAGAAGCACTTGGGCCGGGCAGGGAGGGGCGGCAATACGACAGCAAGATGGAAAGGTCTAGGAGCCCACTGCGTAGAGCAGCTTCTTCCTTAGTCTGCTCTGATCAGCAGGGGAAGAGCCTGCTCTTTTTCAACCCAGTGTGTGAGGCGCTAATGCTGATGACATGATTCCAAAATCCTGAATGGTACCTTTGAATCTAGACACCTCAGGTGATGCCTATCTTTCTCCCTTACCTCTGATATCTTTTCTCATTGTTTAATGTTGAACATGTTACACAACATCTTACCCTCCAAGCTGTGCTCACATTAAGGGTGGTAGCACAGAGTCAAAAAACTGCTCTACTTCAGTTAGACACAGATTACACAACATGGTGAACTAAAGACTAGAAACAAATGCACGAATATTCCCTTGGATTACTGAAAAACACATTTGATAGCAAAACAAGAAAAAAGATTTCAAACCTGCCCTCTCATTCTTCCTCCTGGGCTGTGCAGTAAACATAAAAGTTTTCAATAATCTTGTATCCTTCCTTTCACTCATGCTGAATTTCAAATCGACACACTATACAGTGTTGAATAGAACTGTTTCAGCTAGCTTTCTTTTTCATTACTTTGACATGAAAGAGTAGTTAAGATTTCAAAACTATATCATATTCCTCTTAATAAGGCCACTTTTTGTCCTAGTCAGTGAGCTGGATTATAATTTGCATGTGTCAATAAGATATGACAATTGTCATAAAAATAAGAATTACAGATTCCATTTTTTATATTTTGTTTTATTGGGAGAGGAGTTAGGTGGTTAAGGGCTGCTCTAAGGTGTCACCAACATTGCTTTTACAGAACTTTCAGAGACAGTAAATAGGATATATGAACTGGGAGCAGGTAGACTTGGATTATAATCCTGACCCTATAGCTAACTTGGCCATCACTTAAACCTTTTTGTGCCTCAGTTTTCTTCTCTATAAAATGGGGCACAACTATCCAGTGAAGCGAGTAAGGACTGACCAAGCACAGTGGAGAACATGGCATTCAGCACAAAGCACTTAGGAGTAAAGAGACTTAGTTTCAAATCCCAGCCCAGCCACTTACCCTGAGACCTTGAGTTTGTTACTTTAAAATACTCTGCTTTTTGGATGGTAACCCAAGGTTAACACCTGTGCTGAGTTAAATGAGATGCCACCTGTGCAGCCTCACAAAAGGGGGCTGCTCCTTGTATTATTTGCCTGACAGGTACTTGGCACTCAGACACCTGGGGTATGAATGCCCCTATAGATCACAGATGTGAACGCATTAGTCACTGCCTCAGAACACAGTGGCATCAGACCGTCCTCGTCTGAAAAAAAAAGTCCGTTTAAAGAGGATTCCCAGGTTGTAAAAACTTAAGGTAGGTTGGGCAGAGCCCGACAGGCACTCTTCTGTAAGTGCGGGGTTGGGGGTGGGGGTGGCAAACAATCTGTGAAACAGATCATGGCTAAAGCAGCACAACTGCCCACCTTTCGTTGATGCATTTACAAACACACCTTGCTCAAAAAAAGATGTAATGGTGCTCAGAAAGAGCCAGCTGCTCGGTGCTGTCGGGTGGGGCCCTGCCCAGTGACCTCACTTTGTCTTAAATCTGAGAGCTATAGGTGGCCGCAGACTTCTGCACAGCACTGCGCGTAAGGCGGGCTTTCAGGTGGAAGCCCGTTCTTGAGCCGGATAGGATCCGCGCCCCGGCTCGTAGAGAGGGAAGGACCGGGACGCCACGGCGCCAACCGTTCGGGACGGTCACCCTGCGCGCCCTGAGGTCGCGTTCCACGGGAGAGAAAGCCACCGCTCGCCACCAGGACCGCTGGCCCTCCAGCTGGTCCCTAGAGCACAACGATCTTAGATTCAGTATCACAGTATCCCCGCCCTTACATCGCGTCCGGGAATATAATAATATCCAACGCTACAAGTCAGCACGGGGTGATTCACTCACACATATATAAAAAACAGGACTAGGGGATCACGGCCCCGGGCTTTATTGGAGTTTAAGAGACGCGAGATTACAACAGAGGAGGAAGAGCTCAAACCAAACAGTCGATAGATGGGCGCCCTGATCTAGTTCTGTTGGGCAATACATGCGGTCCTGCAGCTCCAGCACAGGTCCTCAGAACGGGGAAACGACTTAAGGCAAAGAACAGCGGAGGAAGCCGACGCCGGCGCAAACAATCCAGGCACAGGCAGCGCGGCGCTGCCGCCGGGGCCTCGGCTTCCCCCATCCGCAAAACAGGACGTTGGACTAGAGCGTTTCCCAATCCTACTATTAATCTAGAACTCTACAATAGTCCATGCTGAAGCAGCCCGAGGCTCAGAAACCGGAAAAAGGGGAAAGCGAGGGAAGACGACAAGGAGGGGAAAGGGAGGAGCTGGTGGGAGACCTAGAGAGGGAAGACAGGGGACGCCCGGAACAGGCTTGGCGGGTTTTCAACCGTATTCCTCCTCCTCCCATACCTGAGTTCTCATGTCTGGGCCAAGACCCCGCGCCCACCGAATTTGGGCACCAGCTGGCCAAGCTTCTCCCTCCACACCCCAATTTCTAAAAGCCACGGGCAGATGGTGGGCGGCACAATAATGCATGTCATGGATGGAAAGGGGAATGATCCTGGCTGGGGTTGCCTGGGCAGGTGAGCGGGTTTGGAGCTGGGCAAGGGGTGGGACAGCACTAGCCTGGGGATCGTAGAGCGCCCGCGTCCCATTCCGCGTGCCCCACGCGGACTAAACAGCATTCCCCAACTTTGAGCAAGGGGAGGCGGGGGTGTATGCCAAAAAAAAAAAAAAGTTGCAGAACTTTTCCCCCAACTCTGTCGTGGAGGCGGGACCGGAGGGCGGCGCCTGAACCCTGATTCGCCGCCGGCTCCAGTCTGGAGGCTCGGATTGGCGCGCGAGGTCCGGGGCCGGGAAGAGCGGGCGTGGGGGAGGGGAGCGGCCCTCCCCGACCGCGGGATCGGCTCGCGCCGGGAGCGGGTTAATTTCAAATCGGGGGCTTGACTGCTCCTGGACGGTCACATTCCCTTTGCCCGCCCGCCGGCCCGCCAGTCCCGGTCCCGGCTTTTCCCTCCGGCACCCACCTCGGCGCGGCGTAAGGACCGACTGACGGCCTGACACGCGGGCTCCCGAGCCTGAGCGGGGAAGGGGTGCCGAGGAGTCCCCGCTCAGCACCCGTCGGCTCCAACCGTGAGGTGAACTGACAGGTCAGCTGGGCTCAGAGGGACGCAGCGCCTGGCAAAACCCCGCACCGGGGAGAGGGGATCAGGCGGGCAGCGGCAGCGGCGGCCGTTTCCCGCCTCTCGCTCCGCCGGGGGCCTAGGAGGGAGGAGCTGAGCTCCCGCGCAGAGGGGAGGGGGCGAACGAGGGGGGAGGGGCGGGGATGCCGTGGTTCCGGGCGCGGGTTTGCCCGCGCTCAAGCCCCGCGCAGCCAAGGGGCGGTGCTGGCCACGGTCTGGCTTTCCGCGCCAAATTTTTAAATCGAAGGCGGAAGGCCCGGACCCTCCCCTGACGCCGCCAACCAATCGCAGGCCCCCGGCCTGCAGTCTGATTGGTCGAGAATCGTTGCCCTAGAAACCGCGAGGATGCTGTCTGGGAACTGCCAGGCCTGCGGCGCGCGGACTGGCCCCGGGGGGAGGGGCAGTTGGCCTGGCGCAAGGGAAGTGCGCGGGGCGCGGGAGCCGGTGGCGGCAGGGGGACTGTACCTGGTTGCCTTATTGAGTAAACACAGCCTTCCATGGTGGGTGGTGTCCAACATTTTGCCGTGAACTGGCCACCTGAATAGCAAGTACACAGCACTTTAAGGAAGCCGCATCTTTAAGGAAGTTTTTTTTTTAAGTCTTAATCATAAGGCACTCTTAAAAATGCCCAGAGTACGTTTGGAGCTTAATGACTGAATTTGGAAGTTACCAATTTCCCAAGACTTTACTGCTGAGCATATGCACGTGTTAATTCAGGCATCTAGATGCAGACATTAATCCAAATATTTGGGGTCGTGTCTGCTCAGCCGGAACCTTGGCTCATTCGCTGAGCCCCGAGCTCTGATCTGTGAACAGGTGGGTGCTTGTGCTTGCTGCAGTTCCTTCGGTGGGGTCTGGAGAGTGGCTTATCTTCTCTAAAGGTGGGAGAGAGCTGTCACTGGAAACTCTGTGGGTGGTTTGAAATCTCATGACAGCGGATCGGTTTGCTGAAGAAATCCACTGGCGTTTGATGGAGTCCTCTGCCCCGTGGGGTTGTCTCTGGTCGGAAATAAAATGTAAATGCAGTTTGCCAGTTTTCTTTAGCCTTTGTTACAGTAGTAGCCTGTGGTGTCCATGAAAGTATTTTCAACGGATCTCCAGCTTTTGTTTTTCTTTAACTTTTTCTATTTCCTTTTTTCTTCAAGGATATTAAACTTTATAATTGGACTACCTGGACTACTTGAACCATCAGAATATTGGGAGGAACTCCAGATTTTTCATTTTTAAAGAAACTCTAAATGTATGAGAAATTTACAGAATGGAGAATGAAAAGGTACCTAAAGCTTCAATATTTATCCTTGCAATTTTAAATGAAATATTATCCTGATTTAACTCTATAATTTGTCAATATCCAATATTTGATTAATGCCACATCCTTTTTTGTTTAGCCCCTATAAAAACTCAGAAGGGAAATTTAATTTTTGAAGAGGGGAAGAGTTACAAGGGTCAAAGTAATCTTTAAAGAGATAAGTAGAGAAAAAAAGTATTTTTAAGAATAATGAAATTTGTTAGTTACTTTATAATATTTCTGAGAATTCTTGAACAATAGGAATATAGAAAAGGCATTTGACATGATTTGAGCTTGAATTTCTTTTTAAGATAATTTTCTCCTAAGTCAACAGTTTCTTTTAAGTGTGGGGTGATCCTTTCATTGGGCTATCTTGATTGATTTCCAAATCCTGATAGATTAAAAAATGAAATACACAAATTTCCTAAACGTTTTAGATATTAGTCAAATAAGAGAATTGCTTTGCTTCTGATGGTCAGAGGCAAAGGACAGCAACCTTGAGAAAAATCCATTCTTGGATCAGCACTTCTCAGGTGCACCTTCTTAGGAGAGTCCCCCCTTGGGTCCCTCACACCAGCTTCCATGTAAGAGCACCATAGTTGGATGGAGGAGATTCAGATTCAAGTCCTGTGCAATCTCTCTCAGCCTGGATGACTTCTTCTGCACAAACAGGACTACAGGATTAGGTGAAAATACAAATGGAAAATCACTTGATAAGTCCTAAGGAGTCATAGACATAGAAGACAATCCCATTAATCTTGGTTCCTAAAGTCACTGAAGAACTAGTGAATCTCTCCATTCTTTCACTTATTGCCATCCCAGGCATTTCCCTTAAAATAGATACAGATGTTAAGAAGGTGTGAAGTCCCCAGTGGCCAAAAGTAGAAGAAATATAGTTTCCATTAATCTCACGAATGAACTGCTATTAACTTACCCTCTTACATCTCAGTGGCAGTCCAGTCTCTACCAGGAACTAGCTTTGTGGTCCCGGGTAACTAATTTTACTTCTTTGGGTTTCCATTTCCTCCGTCTGTAAAGTGAAAGGGTTAAATATTGAAAGAGCAGACTTTTCTGGTCAGAAATCCTGCTCATGGGCACTCTGGATTTTGCTCCCCATTGGAATTTACCAACAAGTCTGTCCATATGCTAGCCGTCACCCTTTTTACCTTGGCTCTCTGACCTTTCCACATCAATGAGGTTTTATTAAGTACTCACTCCATGCAGTCATTGTGCTAGATGGAGACATAGATGAATGGTTCTGCCATGGAGACCTTTACTTATTACAGTGTCATGAGTAGAAGTCACTCCAAAGAGTCTGGGAATCATTTAAAATTATCCGTCCTATTAGGGGAACCTAACTGAAAGGTATATGGGAACTCTTTGTAGTGTCTTTGCAACACTTCTCTAAATCTAGAATTATTTGAAAATAAAACTGTTTTAAAATTAGAAGTCTTAAAGTTTTCTTTTTTAAATTCTTGGAACTTGAGATGAAACTTTTAAGTCCACGCTTTGTTGCAAAATTGAAAATGGAAAATAGCTATTAGAATGGGGAAAGGTCAAGCAATCACTGGAATAAAGTTACTGATTTAGTCAACTCAACAATCCCACTCGGCATTTTTCTCCTTAGCAATATTCTATTTATTATACAGTTCTTAGAGTCCAAAGCTATCTGATAAATCTTTTTATAGTGGATTTAATAACTGACTTGTTTTAAACCAGGAGAACCTCTTTTTCGAGCCACATAAAAGGGGATTGATGAAAACACCCCTGAAAGAATCCACTGCTGCAAATAGAGTGTTGGCGGACATCCAGCCTGACTTTGGCCCTTTAACCACACCCACCAAACCCAAGGAAATCTCCCCAGGAGAACCGTGGACACCAACAGCCAACCTCAAAATGCTTATCAGTGCTGTGAGCCCTGAGATCCGCAACAGAGATCAGAAAAGGGGTTTGTTTGACAACAGAAACGGATTACCTGAGGCCAAAGACTGTTTACACGTATGTTTGCAGAGGACTGGGTGGAGATGGTGGCGGAGTTGGGAGGAGGGGGGACTTGATGAGGGTAGTTGTAGCCGTTGAAGCACCAGCAATATAAAGCATCGCCCCTCCACCCTGATCCCTGGAAAGGTTTGGACCCCATCAAATACAGCCCTGGGAATTTGGAATCTGTAACTTATTTATGAACTGCTCCCCTTTCAGATCTGTCAGGCAGTCGATCCTGGTTTCCCACCTTTCTCCCTCCCATTTTGCAGCTAACGAAGCAAACAATAAATGTTAGTCATTAAGCGCAGATGCCCCTAATAAATCTTTCCCAGTAAGACATTATTTACATCTTCCTTTGTAGGAACACTTATCTGGAGATGAATATGAGAAATCCCAACCCAGTCGAAAAGAGAAAAGTTTAGGATTGTTGTGTCATAAGTTCTTAGCTCGCTATCCCAACTATCCCAACCCTGCTGTGAATAATGACATCTGTCTTGACGAAGTGGCCGAGGAACTTAGTAAGTATGCAAAGAGCCCACCGAAACGCTTAATCATTAAAATGACTTTAGACACTTACTCCTTCAGACCCACCCTCGTGTAGCCAGTGTTTGCAATGACACAAATAAGGCCACATGGAAATTGGCAATCTGTTAAAACCCTATTAATTTAAGAAGAAAGACATATAGTTTCCAATATCAGTTGTCTTAAAACAGAAGCAAAGCATCACAGTGGAGAGTGCTCTGGCTGCATTTGGAAAGCTCTGAAGCTTTAAAAGAAGGCAATATTGTTGTATGACTTATTTCACAAAGAGCCACAACTCTGAACTTGCCTCTTGTTTCTCAGCAAGGAGTCAGGCTGCAGATTGGTTTCTTCACAGTTTACCCTGAGGATGGGCTTCTGTGCCTGGGAGCAGGGCTTTAGTGCTCCCTGACACAAAGCACTATTCTAAGGAGTGTGTTTACTGAGTGTTTTGTGTTTGGCAAAAGTCACTGTTTCCCCCTATCCTGTTTTATTCCTCTCTCCTGGGACTCAAATCTAGTTACAGCTAGAAAGGAGTCTGGCAAATTTGGGGTACCTTTGGAGTGCTGAAAATACTATAATCTGAAAATGTGAAGAGATATGCAAGATATTTTAATATCTAGCTATCACCCCATGAAGAAGGTTTTGACCTTCTAATACATGTTTATACATATCAACTTTATTTCACATTTTAAGAACATGCCATTTAGATTCATCTATTCACATACACTGTATTGAAGCTATGGAGGATGTACCCTTTAATTCAGCAGGTATGTGCTGATCGCCTACTATATGTCAGGCAATGTTCTAGCAGCTAGGATAACAGGAGTGAACAGAAAGGACAAAACCTCTGCTCCTGTGGAACCTACTTTCTAGTGGGGGCAATAGATAATATGCAAAGGACATAATAAGTAAGTAACTGTAACATATGTTAGAAGGTTATGTGTGCTGTGGGAAACAGAAGATGTAGACCAAGGTAGAGGGGGATCAGAAGGGCCAGGGAGATGCTTTGCAATTTTTAATTTAATTTTAAATTTAAAGTGGTCCAGTCAGGCATTGTTGAGAAGGCGACATCTGAGCAAGGACTTGAAAAAATCAAGGTAGGGAGCTACAAGGACATCTGGGAGAGGGATTTCAGCCGGAAGCAACAGCCCAGCACAAAGGCCTTCAGGCAAGGGCATAGCTAGCAAGGAATCTCAGCACCTTGTGCCTATTATATGACAGCTGTGTGTGTGTGTGTGCGCGCGCGCGTGTGCGTGTGTGCTGAAAACTAATATAAGAAATGGATTGCAAAGTGTGGGATTTAGAGGTCTGAAGCCTTGGCTCTGCCACTTACTTGCTCTGAGCCTTGGGGTGAGCAGCTTAGCCAGCTAAGCTTTTATTTCCTCATCACTAAAGTGTGGATAATAATACCTATCTCACAAGTGGGCCTAAATTTGTATGGCACATCCGAAGGGCTCCAACAATGTCCCTTTCTAATTCATATTAATTATTTGTATCCTTTGAGAGCAGGGACACACCTTTCCCATCCTACACTCTTCGTTGAGCATAAAGTTATATAATCCAGAATCTGCTGACTAATAACCCATGGAAGAAAAAGTTACTTGATTCTATCCACGTTACAAAACCTGATCCTAGTAACGGACAACTGCTCGTTCTTTGTAGATGTCGAGCGCCGCCGCATTTACGACATCGTCAACGTCCTGGAGAGTTTACACATGGTGAGCCGCCTCGCCAAAAACAGGTACACTTGGCACGGGCGACACAATCTCAACCAAACCCTCGGAACTCTGAAAAGCGTCGGGGAGGAGAACAAGTACGCGGAGCAGATTATGATGATCAAAAAGAAAGAATACGAACAAGAGTTTGACTTCAGTAAGAGTTACAGTATAGAGGATCCGCTCATCAAAGCAAACCCTGGCCAGAATGGACACTCCGACATGTGTTTTGTCGAACTCCCTGGAGTGGAATTTCGGGCAGGTGAGAGCTGATGTGGAAAAGCTCAGGCGGCAGGGTGCTTCTCCAAAGTCTAAAGGAAAGTTTCCTTAGGGAACGGCTCTCAAAGCTCCTGCTGCTTTTAATTTCAAGATGCTGCCTGTCACCCCAACAATCAGGTTGTGGTATTTTTAGACGGTGACTTTAGAAATCACTTGTCCCTTCACGGATTTTAATTCTCTAATCCTCTTCCCTCTCCAAAGCCTCTGTAAACAGCCGCAAAGACAAGTCTTTAAGAGTGATGAGCCAGAAATTTGTGATGCTGTTTTTGGTGTCCACGCCTCAGATAGTAAGCCTCGAAGTCGCTGCCAAAATTTTAATTGGGGAGGACCACGTGGAAGACTTGGATAAAAGCAAATTTAAAAGTAAGTAGCAGGAGGGGGTGGGGTATAGCTCAGTGGTAGAGCACATGCTTAGCATGCACAAGGTCCGGGATTCAATCCCCAGTACCTTCATTTAAAAGAAAAAAGTGACACGACCACCGTGGACTTGGGACCTACTCTTAAATAATAAAATCTTCGTTATTAACTGATTTCCAAATACATTTGTGATATAAGCAGATCATCTCTAGTTGTGCTTCTAAGTCTTCCCTTCTCCCCAGAAGCCACGATGACACTGCTTTAGCTAACTTGCAGGATCCAAAGATACATATATAAGTACTCTTACCTGACACTTTGGCTTATACAGTTCCTTCAATGTTACCTCATTTGATACTGTAACATTGTCCCCACTGACACAGGTAGAACCTATAGTATCTAAAGTCTAAATGAGCAGTAAACTGTAAAGTGGGCTGGAACCCAGGTCTCTGGTCTTTCCACTGACTCATATTCGAGGGTGTAAATAACTTCTTGCCATTTTGAAAGACTGGTTTTAGCCAGAATATCTGCTCTAGGTTGGAAAGAGACCATAGACTGGGCTCTTAACACAACTCTGCCCTTGCCTATAGAACAGAATTTGCAGGAACCCCCACAAAGAGGAGCAGAGAGGAGGTGTGGAAAGGAGTGCTCAGCAGATGGGGAGGGGCCTGCTGCACACCCATCTCTCGTGGGGACATTCGCAGAGCTCCATGGAGGGCATGAGGCTGGCCGGGCCATGGGTCACTTGGGGGACCCAGCTGAGTGGTGAGAAAGAGCTGCCCCAAGCCAAAGCAGAGGCTGGAGGATGCCTGGGAGTTGTCACAGACCTTTTCCATCCCTGTGAGGCGGTACTGGTCCCATGAAAGTATATTCAGACATCCCCAGGTTGATAATGTCTCTGTAAAGACAAAACGAAGTAGAGATTAAGGCAATAATGCTGGCAGTTGGCTTGGGAGATCTGTCATTTCAAAAAACACATCCCGATACTGCTTTCTCTGAGTCACCAGACAGCTTTCAGCTCTCCAGTTCACTGGTTAGTCATAGCCTTGGAAACTATTCCAGGAACTGCAGATGCATAATTTGCTGAATCCCCAAGGAATTCAGAACCTTCTGGCATGGCTATGAAGGGAGGGGCTCAATTTGTAACTTTGTACTATCAAGCTGAAGTAAAGGCAGACTTTGTGCAACAAAATTTTTCAAGATATGTAAGATTTGTAGAATTAACAAATCTATACTTTGCATACTACACGTGGACAGTATAAACATCTGTAAATTTTGATGGGCTATAGAATTTTCCATGCTTATGATATAAAGTCAATTTTATTTTTATAAACTATCACAAGCAGGAAAGCAATACATTTATCATTGATGCTGTATTTCTATTTGTTCATAAAATTCTTCTGAATCCTCTTTAGAGGATGCCCAGCAATGGTGAGTTTTTATTGGAAAATCTGTAACATGTTTCCCAATAGGTGATCTCATTGAGTCATTTTTTTCCTTTTCCAACGTGTGCTTTTGTCATTTCAAAATTCAGTATCAGCAGTGAGTCTCTTCAATATTTAAAACTATTTTTTTTTGTTTTAATCAAAGCAGTATCACTAGAATAATTCAAGAGTCACATATTTCTCTGACATTGATGGTTAGGATAGCTCTTTGAACATACATGAAGTCCTTATGAAGCAAAGTCCTTTGATCTTTCATTTTTCCATTAAGTGATGGATATACTTTTTTTCCCCCAGCGAAAATTAGGAGGTTGTATGATATAGCTAATGTTCTGAGTAGCCTGGATCTTATCAAGAAAGTTCATGTTACAGAGGAAAGAGGCCGAAAACCAGCTTTTAAATGGACAGGCCCAGAAATCAGTCCAAATACCAGTGGTACGTATTTGTTTTCTTTCATTCATTGCTTCGTCATTTTGAATTAATGCACATTTGGAGATATTCTCTCTTCCCCTCCTACTCAACACTCGCACATGGAAAGAACATATATAAGTGATTGAAAAGACAGTTTAAGATGAGTGCCAATATGGAAAGCCTGGCCCCCAGCTCCATCAGCAACCCAAGGTCCATCACCATCTCACACCCTGTGCAGGAGGAAGAATCTGTATGTGAAAGGATTTGAGAAAGTTGAAAGCATCACAAAACATAACAGATGACTGCTGTCATCATTATGCTGCTCAGTGACCATAACAGAGTCTGTGCATGTGCGGAATATGAAATGAATTCATCCCAGTACCAGTATTCTAGCCTCCATCTCAACTCTGGGATTCTGGCATTTGGCATTCCACCAAGATCCCCACACAGAAGTGCTGGAAAGAGCAAGAACATGGGCCATGGAGGCAGAGGAAGACTTAGGTTCCAGTCCCAGCCCTGTCACTTATCCCAGCTGTGTGACCTTGGGCCAGTCACATCTCACCCGCAAGTGGGAAAAACAATGGCACCTTTGCAATGTTATCAAGACTTTGGATATAACCTCAAAGAGAGGTCCTTTGGTGCAGGGATTCAGGGCACAGGCTCTGGGCCAGACTGGTCAAGTTCATATTGCAGACCTATATTCTACAGGCTGAGAGACCATGAGTCAGTTGGTTAATGCCTGAAGGGGGTTGCATTTCCTAAGAAGTACCTACCTCAGTTGTTGAGAGTGTCTTAGTCCATCCAGGCCGCCATAGCAGAGTTCCATAGACTAGGTGGCTTATAAACAAGAGAAATCTACTTCTCACAGTTCTGCAGGCTTGGAAGTCCAAGATCAAGGCGACAGCAGATTTAGTGTCTGGTGAGGACCTGCCTTCTAGACAGCCATCTTTTCGTTGTAACCTCACGTGGTGGAAGGGGACTAGCAAGCTCTGTGGGGGTCTCTTTTATAAGAGCACTAATCCTATTCAAGAGGGCTCTGCCCTCATGACCTAAGCACGTTCCAAAGGCCCTACCTCCTAATACCAACTGGGTGTTAGGTTTCAACCCAGGAACTTGAGGTAAGGATACAAGTAATTCAGTCCAGAGCAGTGAGAGTCACCGTATTTCATCAGATTAAGATACCACCCTTTACAAGATGCATCATTTTTTATATATCAAGAAGAAAGAAAAACCACTAACAATCACGCCGTCGCACGCCACTGGTTAAGGTACCAAATCACTTTACTGTACACCTGAAACTAACACAACATTGTAAATCAACTAGACATCAATTAAAAAAAAAAGATACCGTGGGTTTCAGAGATGTTAAGGTGTGAACTGTTATCTCAGAATTTATTTCATAAAATAAATAAGCTTTTGTAGGTAAAGCCCTTTAAATATAAAGTCCGGCACATAGTAGGTGCTCTCTAACTGCTGCCACTTCAATTCCTCAAATTGTTTTAGAACCTCACTTGACTTCACACCCCAGAAGGAAGCTGAATCACCAAGTGCTAACACACCGCCCTTTTCTGTTTCAGGGCTCAGCCCAGTCCTCCCTGTGGCTCCCTCTGATCTGGAAGTGAAGCGATCTTCAAAAGAGAACTGTGCCAAAAACCTCTTTTCCACCCATGGGAAACCAAACTTCACTCGACACCCATCTCTCATCAAACTGGTAAAGAGCATAGAAAGTGATCGGAGAAAGATAAATTCTGCTCCCAGTAGCCCTATTAAAACCAACAAAGGTATGTTTTCAATTGTGTCAGGGCTCTGCCTGGAAGAATTCCTTTTTATCTGATTTTTTTAGCTTATTTGATTCCTACCAGACTTGCTAGAGAATTGTTTCAATATGCGTATACCCAAACCTGCTTGAAGCCTAACTTAAATACGAATTAAAGGATGAAAAGTGATTTGTGGAGCTTATCATTTAATTGCTGTGTGATTTTTGGGGGTGGTGCATGTTTCCTGTTTCTTTGACTTCAGTGGTGTTTCATCTGGGAACGTGTATTCTTTTGCTTTGACCGACCCCCTCCCCCACCTTCTTTTTATTTCATCAGCTGAGGCTTCTCAGAATTCGGCACCCTTCCCAAGTAAAATGGCTCAGCTCGCAGCTATTTGCAAAATGCAGTTAGAAGAGCAATCAAGGTAGGTTGGCAACGCTCTTTAGTAACAGGATGCATCACTTGACGTTGCATCATTAGGATTACTTATTTTATGTAAGAATAGCACCAGCCTTGGAAACTGGTGAGCTAATCTCTCACTCATACAGAATCATTACAGAAACTATCTGCTAATGTCATAAAAGCATGGCTTCAATCTAGGGCGATCTAAAGTGGTAGAACATTTTAGAGAAAATGTGTTTCTACTGTGTCATGTTTTCAATCCTGTCTTTTAGTGAACCCAGGAAAAAAGTGAAATTACAGCTGGCAAGATCTGGGCACTGCAAACCACTGGCCCCTCTGGACACGCCAGCAAATACTGAGCTGGAGATGACAGCACCGTCCCTCATCCAGCCCCTGGGGGTGGTCCCCCTCATCCCCAGCCCATTGTCATCGGCGGTACCCGTGATCCTACCTCAGGCCCCTTCGGGCCCATCGTATGCCATCTACTTGCAGCCTGCCCAAGCCCAAACCATGACACCGCCCCAAGGTCTGAGCCCGACGGTCTCCTCCACCCCCTCCTCTAAAGCCATGAGATCAAAAGACTCCACAGAAGCCATGACCGAGAATACAGCCAGTGATGCCGCAAAGCCCAGTGCCCCGACCAGGCCTGGAAGCTTGCTGCCAGGGCCAGAGAGACAAGGTACAAAGAACAAAGACAGGGAGCCTGCTGGGGAAAGAGGCGCCAAGAGGGCAAGCTTGCTCGAGGACAGCAGTTCCAAAAAGAAATTTAAAGAAGACCAAAAAGGACTTGAAAATGTCTCCGCAGTAAGTACAGCCTTGAACAGTGCAAAGCTTTAGGAACTCCCCCATTGATTAGAGGAGGATCTGGTGGTTTGTGAAATTTAGCAGAGCAAAGAGCAGGGAAGGGAAGACAGGGAACTGTTCCTCTGCATCCCGTAATCCAAACAAGGCTTCCGACAGCTAATCCCCTGACTGGGATGACAGCAGGGACATTTTTAACCTGCGGAGGAAGGGATTATTTGCTCTCTTTTTAAAGCACTCCAGGTGGTTGTCCTTAAATCCATTTGTCTGTCACATACCAGAATGCAAACACCTGTCCTGAAAATCTTAAATTATTTACAAGCAGATGTGACCCCAAATGAATGAGTGGGTGCATAGGGTTCCTTTAAGTCCTGCTTTCTGAGTCATTCCTTGAGGTCTGTTTGATGTCATGTAACAGACATCTGTTGTCTAGAAGAGAAATTGTGCCCCCTGTTTTTCCTTTCTCCCTAAAATTTAAACCAAAATTTCTATTTTGTGTAAATAGAAAATCAAATTTATCTTGGCAAATTGTAGATATGTTGGATGCATTAGTTTCTAGGGACTTTGATGTTCTGGATAATTTTTTTCCTAGATGGAGTTTAATTCAGGAAGGAATTAACACTTATCAGATGTCTGCCCACATATCAGACATCAGAAGTATTAGGGACTTTTACATGCATTGTCTCGTTTTCCTCCCTTAGGACAATTATATACGAAATTTGTCATCACTGAATAAACAAACACCACTAAACGTGGAAGCAAAAGTTAATCTCTCATTTTGTCCCTGCTGTTCACTCAAGTTATCTTACTTCTCTACATCTTGTTTTCCCATATCTATAAAAAATTTGTTCTGCCAGTTTTTCCTGATCATCTCCTGGGTGTAAAGCACTGTGCCCTGGATCACATCAGACCCAGCACCTGCTTTTGGAGACGGTTGCTTTTGAGCGCTTGCCCCAGGGCCATATTACAGTTTTGGTGAGGTTAAGTGAATTTATTACATGATGTGACACATAAAGGGGCTTGTGATCCTTTTAAGGCACCATCTAAGCTGAAGGGTATTACCTGTAACTGTTGTCATTAAGGAGGCTATAGAGTTTGTCAAGTTTTCCCTGAGGATGGCCTCATGGTAACCACTCAAAACATCCATTATCTTAGCATAGTATCTTGTTGCATTTAATATACATGCTGTGGGGGAAAATCACAAGGCTTCAGCTTGATTCAATTTTCTGGGAGGTCCATAATCTCTCCAGGCCAGAGGGTATGATTTAGTAATGGTTCCCTGTTGCTCACTTAGTTATTCAGGATTAGGGTTTTCACTGGATAGATTCTTCATGTCCCCTGCTTTTTTCATCTCTGACTTCATCTTGACCATTTCTTTTTAGTTCGAACTGAGCAACACAAAGAAAGTGAGAGATTCCTGTGTTAATTCATTCGACAGACATTGACTGAGAATCTACACTTCTGGGGGCAGAGAGAAGACAGTATACAAACACACACATATCGGGTGGTGAATGATAAGAAATATGGTGAAAATAAAACGGGATGATGTAAGACGAAGGGAGTAAGAGTGCTAATGAAGGCTAGATAAGCAGACATGCAAGTGGAAATATGTCAAATTCCCTCATCCTACTTTAATAGTTCTAATTTTTTTTTAAAAAGGAATTGGCATTATAGGTGAAAAAATTTTGTGATGAATGTAGTTTATAGGAAATTGAAAAAGAATTATTATTGGAGTATTACAGGTTTTGCTGAAGATTTGAAGTCAAAGCAGCAACCAGAAAACCTTGTACTATGAGAGGACGGTCAAAAATAGCAAAGAGCAGCTATTTGTAAAGCACCTAAATCGATCACTTAAAGTTTCTCTATCCCTGCAGCCTTCCAGGAACCTACTAGTAAAGATATTGAATAGAATTAAGCACCTAAGAAACCAAAGTGAAAGTTGGTAGTACACTGTTAGCATCGTGGATTCTGAATTCACCGGTTCCCAAGGAAAAAGACCAGACCTGTTAACAGCTAGATCAAAGGGCAGACTGATGTTTTGACAGTGGCGAGGAGGAGGAAGATAAAAGGAGGGCCTAGTTTACAAGAGCTGCTCTTTGCTTTTGCCAGTGCTGCTCATGGTAAGGCTGAGCAGACTTTTCAGGCGGCTCAGCCTCCCAGGTAGGCTTTCTCTGTTTAGAGAAGTACCAGGATCAGCAGGCCCAGGGAGGGCACACGCAACCCAACACTCTGGCCATTTCCGTTTGGAATATAACCTTACGGCCCCAAGCTTTTGCTGCATGACAGCTGGGTGTCTAATATGAATTAATCAGTTCTCTTCGTTATCTGTAGCTTTTGCACTCTGGTGCCCTGCCCTTTAATTTGTATCTCATAAGGCTGTTTGCTTGGTATCATTAAAACCTAAAAGTAGTAGGGGAAAAAAATGTATAGTTATATAATTCCTTTGTTCTAAATCAGCAGTCAGTCAACTTTTTCTGTAAAGGACCAGATAGTAAATGTTTTTGGCTTTGTGGGCCATGTGGTCTCTGCTGTACCTATTCAAGTCTGCCACTGTTTAAAAAAAAAAAGTGTCTAGAGACAATACATACATGAATGGGCCTGGCTATGTTCTAATACAATTTTATTTACAAAAACAGCCAGAAAGCCTTATTTTGGCCCATGGTTTGGCAATCCCTTTCTCTAAATCAACAGTTCCTAAAATGTTTTCCTTGAATATTAATACTACCAAAAGTTCAGTTGCTGGTTAGCCTGGGACACGTTACATGACAGATGTCCTCTTGCATATTTACAGCACCTGTCATTATTAAAGCCCCTTAGAAATTCAATTCTGTAATAAGGACACCATTTTCCTTTGTTTAATTTGGCACTTTCCAAGCATCTTTGACTACAATTCAAGTAGTGGCTGCTTGCATCCTGTAGAACTAGCATCCCTCTGAATATTCTTCGAGAAATACCACCCTACATAATTCAAGGACAATCAGATAATAACACAGCAGTGCCATCATGGTGTCCAGCTGCATTCAACTTGTTCTGACAGTTAGCGCCACATCTAAGAAACACATGGTCTGTATTATTCAAGACAAGTATTAGTGCAGCAGGGAGGGATATTGTCTTCAAGGAGCCATAAAGCTGGCCTGCCTGTGGCCCACACCATTGGAGGCTTTGGTCTGATGAGACAAAACCACCACCAAGGGATATGTGTCCTGGAAGAGGCACGTGGTCATTTTTCTTCCTGTATTTGTGTGTAAAATAAACCCTTCCTCCTTGTTTTCTAGACTTTGTTCCCATCAGGATACCTAATCCCTCTCACCCAGTGCTCAGCCCTGGGGGCAGAGTCCATTTTGTCTAGTAAAGAAAACTCAGGTACACTTTCCCCAAACCACAGGATCTACAGCTCCCCAATCGCAGGTGAGTGTACATAAAACACTGTCCAAACGTGGGTCATCCTCAAGTTCACTTAAGCCTTATGTGCTCCTCGGACAAATGCCTGTGCTTTTAAGATATTTCCCCCCTTTTTCTCTCCAGGTGTTATTCCAGTGACATCATCTGAACTCACTGCTGTTAATTTTCCCTCTTTTCATGTAACACCTTTGAAGCTAATGGTCTCACCAACTTCCGTGGCAGCCGTACCTGTCGGGAACAGCCCGGCTCTCACTTCGAGCCACCCCGTTCCCGTCCAGCACCCAAGCTCAGCCATTGTAAACTTCACCCTGCAGCACCTGGGCCTCATCTCCCCCAGTGTGCAGGTGTCCGCCAGCCCCGGGCCTGGAACCATCCCCGTATCTCCAAGAATAGAGGCTGTTAGCATCACCCCAGAAAATGCAGGCACCCAGCAAGGAAGAGTCCCTAGGTATGACTTGTCAGCCCCAAGCCAGAACCAAATGAATGGACAATCAGCTGCAGTGACTGGAGCACAGCAGGTGAGACTATTTCCATTAATTTATTTTTTTCCTTGGTTAGTAAGTCCCAAATATCAGTATCATGGGAGGCTCAACGTTTGCTTTTCTTTTTTTTTTTAACTCCTTTATTGTGGTATGGTTCCTATACAGTAAACTATACATATTTCGGATGTACAGTTAACTTTTGCTTTTCCCTGGGAAAGGGAAAGGATGGGCAAGTGAGGAGATTAAATGCCTGCCTGCCTTCCAAACCCAGGAAGAGTGCCCACGGAGTCCGTATTATTGGGCTATTGTGAGCTTTTTGTCTCACCTTAACAAAAACAACTGAAAATGTAAAACTCACCCAGGCTACCCTGGCAGATCTCAAGGCATGCTAGGTTCCCGCCGTGTGACATGTTCTTCCCATCCAGTCGTCTCAGGCTGCCCGGGTGTCCCTGTCTGCGTAGGTTTGACTTTTTCCCATTTCTCTTTCCAATCAGCCTGTTCCTGTGACACCCAAAGGATCCCAATTAGTGGCCGAGAGTTTCTTCCGTACCCCAGGTGGACCCACAAAGCCAGCGGGCTCATCCTGCGTGGATTTCGATGGTGCTAGTAAAACCTCCGTAGGGACTCTCTTTGTCCCACAGCGAAAACTGGAAGTCTCAACAGAGGATGTCCATTAATTGCCAGATTTGGCTTCACTTAATTTTCTAAAGAGTTGTATAATAGAGAAGATGTACTCAGACTGATTTGGAGAGCACATTCTCTAAAAAATACTGTAAATACGTTGGGGATTTGCTTAGTTTCAAAACAGACACTTGTTTTCCTACTTATATATATACACACAGAGAGAAAATATATATTTGTATTAAGCGAAGTTCAGCCGTCAGTCCTACAAAATAAAAGTAAAATGTTGAACTATGGTGTATTAACTTCTAAGGGAAAAGGATTCGTTTTTTTCAGGTGTGCCTATACTATTATGCAGAGTAACTGTGTTAAAGTTTACTTCCCTTTGAGTGAATATGTGACAGGTCTAACACAGCATCCTCTTCAACTTTGCACAAGGAAAACGCTGTGATGTATAATGTATTTTTAAATAAGAGGGCTGTAGCTATATTTTTTGTAATTTCTTTCATCTGTTGTCATTGCAGTATGTCTTTTTGTAAAGTTCACAACAATCCTCAATCAAGTCTATGGAAAAATTATTTATAAAATGTATTTTCAATCATAAGTTGTTCAAATTAAAACTCTTCTCAAATGTATTTAACATTTTCATTTGGCCAGTGAGGGCCCCGTTGGAAGAAAAGGAAAATTTATCTAACGTCAGAGTCATATTCTTAGGAAGGAGTATACATCCTCGGTTCCCTTGGAGAAACAAAGTTTATATCCTACGTTCTTCCCCTCTTGATCCTCCATGTGGCTCCACTTTTATAGAAGTGAAAATGGCCTCGGAAAAGCTATTGCTTGGCCAAGGATACTCAGCTAAGTCCCACGTGCTTCCTACCACATCTTGGGAGATGAGAAAGGAAAGACAGGAACTGGGGTGCTCCCTGCCCTACCTGGGCTTCCTGCTGTCTACAGACAAGGGGCTGCAGCTCCAGTCCTTTCACCACAATTTCCAAATGGCCCAGCTCCAGGGATGGGGAAAGCAGCAGGAAGGATTCTCATTTCGTCCACACTCAAGGAACTACCACATCAAATCCTCCATGAGCACCAAAAGAAAGAATGAGCTACAATGTACTGAACACGCACCTCCTTGATTCCCTGCCATGGGACGAATTGTAACTTAAGAACTGATATGTGCCTTCCCTGGTCAGAGTCTTAAAGGATCGTCGTAGTGTCTATTTCCTGCATGTTTACCACGTGCCAGGCACTGTGCTACACATCTTAAAGGCATTATCTTTACATGCTAGGATGATGAGGTCACTGAGGCTCCCAGAGATTAAAACACACTGTTAAATGTGTGCAAGGATTTAACCCATGTCTGTGGGCCCTCCATCCATCCATTACCCATCTCCCTCCAGATGCATGCCCAGCAGCTCTAGTAGGAACCAAGCACACTGTTTCTGGGTATTCTAAGCATTTGTAAGCTCACCCCTTGCAAATATACATATTTTGTTTGCACAACAAAGTACGGCTAAGGGGAGGTTTCCACAGTGACTTAGTAGAAACCCCTCTTCTTCCACACCACTGGAGAACCAATTTGAACTACTTTCTCCCTAAGCACCTCTGCCTTTGCTTTTATAAGCCTACTTGGGAGCCATGTGGGTGATTCCTGGTGTAAGAAATGGCTCCTACCTTTAGGGTGTTTATAGTATCATTGAGGAAGACAGTATATACACACAAATCAATGAAGAAAGCAAGCATGTCCATGCAATAAAGAGAAGGTAAGTTGTCAAACAGTAGAGAGAGACAAACGATAACAGTTCAGTGGAGCCTACTAGATCAATTGCATACAGAACAGAGAAACACCAACCCAGACAGACAGCTGCTGTGGCTCTGAGATGAAGCTCATGACATCCCCTCGTACTCCCCTATAGCTAAGCTAGAGAG